CAAGAATAAAGTGACCAGATTTTAACATTGGTAAAGTGGGACACCATTGGGGGGGCAGGGTCTGGGGGCAGGGCCTGACAACAATGCAAACTTTGATAAGCAGTTCTCGATAATCAGTTCTCAACAATTATTTGTTATTATTAAAGTTTAACATTATAAAATTAACAAAAATAATATAAAACGCATATCCTGGCGAAATAGCCATATGGCAGCCGAAAACTGTATATTCCCTTCCTGTTCTCCTGTGTTCCCCAGCTTGTTGTGTATTCTTTCCAAAATTCGGGGCTTTCTTTAAAGATCTCAAAAAAATAATACTGCATTTCATATGGAATCAGAAAAAACCTCAAATAGCCAAGACAATTCTCAGAAACAAAAACAAAGCGGGGGGATCACGCTACCAGACATCAGACTATATTATAAATCAATAGTGATCAAAACAGCATGGTACGGGCACAAAAACAGAGAGATAGATGTATGGAACAGAATAGAGAACCAAGAGCTGAACCCGGCTACTTACCGCTATATGATCTTTGACAAACCAATTAAAAACATTGAATGGGGAAAAGATTCCCTATTCAACAAATGGTGCTGGACGAACTGGCTAGTGATGTGCAGAAAACTGAAACTGGACCCACACCTGTCACCACTAACTAAGATAGATTCTCACTGGATTAAAGACTTAAATTTAAGACATGAAACTATAAAAACATTAGAAGAAAGTGTGGGGAAAACTCTTGAAGAAATAGGCCTGGGCAAAAATTTTATGAGGAGGACCCTCCCAGGCAATTGAAGCAACATCAAAAATATACTACTGGGACCTCCTCAAATTAAAAAGCTTCTGCACAGCCAAGAACACAGTAAGAAAAGTAAGTAGACAACCCTCAGAATGGGAAAAGATATTTGCTGGTTATGCTTCGGACAAAGGTCTTATAACCAGAATCCACAGAGAACTCCAGCATAGTAGCAAGAAGAGAACAAGTGATCCCATCGCAGGGTGGGCAAGAGACTTAAAGAGAAACTTCTCTGAAGAAGACAGATGCATGGCCTACAGATATATGAAAAAATGTTCACCATCCTTAATCATCAGAGAAATGCAAATCAAAACCACTCTGAGATATCATCT